CGATCATTATTCACGTAAAATCTAAACGAGAAGTTGAGACTCGATACCGTTCTCGGAAAACGAGCGAGAAAGGTTCGAACGAGAGAAGACGGCTCGACGGCAAAAACGCGACGGAAAGCGGCAGCGCTCAGCGGCTGCTCGGGCTCGACGGCTACGCTCGGCTCGCCGGTTAACTCCCGGAAAGCAGTAGCGGCTGTCGAAGGCAGAGACGGGGCCTGCGTGGAGGGGCAGCGGCTCACTGGGGGAAGAGCTCGGCGTCGGGGCTTCACGGCGGAGCAGGTGCATATGAGGAGAAGCTGCAGACGGGGGCTTGCGAGCGGGTTTCGCCGGAAAATTCGCAGCCGCTGGTACGTTGAGCTCGCGGAGGAGGACCATCGACCGAGGGCAGCGACTGGTTGCGGGAGGAGGGCTCGCGCATAATGAGACATCAGAATCATACGTATGGTTGCTAGCAGAATTTACAGTTGCAATGAAAGGGAAAACGTCGGCCACCATCATCACAAATCAAGATAAGGTTATGTGTTCCGCAATAAAGAAGGTGTTACCGCACGCTAAACATAGCTATGTGCATGGCATCTCGAGAAAAATTATGCACAGCGAGTGAAGGTCCACGATTCTACAAAATATTTGGGAAATTTCTAATGAAAACTTGGACACCGGAGAAGTTTGAAGCTGAATGGGAATTACAAACAGTCAAACATGATGTGGCGGACAACCAGTGGATGAACTATATGTATAAAATGAGAAATCAATGGTGTGACGCTTATCTTTGAGGGAATTTTATATGGATGACCAGAACAACACAACGAGCAGAATCTTTGAATGCGCTCTTCAAGCATGGGGGTAAATCGGGTAGCACAATTACAAGGTTCCTTAAAACTTTTAATCGGATTGTGCAGTCATTGCGGTCGACTTTTTTCAGAAGAAAGATATTCGGAGATGAACCCACTAGATATTAAGTACGCAACACCACTTCACGGGATTCATGTACAAATGGTTGGAGTTTATACATGCCCAGATTTTGGAAATGTTCGAAGGGAGATTGATGATGAGAAAAATAATATTGTAGTTGAGAAGAAGAGTGATGATGGGGGCTCACATACCTTCAAAATGAAGAAATATCCTTCACCGGAACAATGACAATGGTCGGTCCTAGTAAATATAAATGAGGGTAAATTTATGGGTGATTGTAAAATGCTGAAAATCGATGGCATGTCCTGTAGTCATTTATTTATTGCACTCAAGTACTTCCATGTTCAGAAGATTCCAGCACAATGCATAAATCCTAGGTTGACGACCTTAGAGGAAAAATATCTTAGAGAAACATTTGACTAAATACTTGTTTCTGTTGATCCATACTGCAAAAGATATTTCGAACTGTATAAAGAATCAGTTGACATGTGTTCCAAGGTATCTCAGAACGAATTGGATACGACAAAGTATGTGAAGAAAGTTCGACGTGCAGTTGAGAACCTAGAGAATACAGAAGAAGCCAACACTGGAACCTCAAATAATGATTTCACATATGGATCACAAATTATTAAGGATCCTGCGAGAGGGTTGAAAAAAATGAAAAGACGGGCGACCCACGTAGGGCTAGATCTAGAGGCGCACCGCCAGCACAAAAACAAAAACACAAATCATGGGAGTACGAACTTAATATTATATACTACACCTTGTTTTTTTAGTACATGAAATTAAAAAAAATTGGGTATTGTATGTACATCTAATGCTAACCACCTTATTGTACTTGCAGCGAATCCGGACATGAGACAACCACTTGTCAATAAATAAGAATGAGTAACCAACCTTCATAGTCTTTTGTTGGTAACGAGAATTCATTTTGCATTCCAGATGGAAGTCAGGATAAGGGACCTCAAGTCATTGACCGGTTGGAAGTCAGGGTCAATAAAGAAGGAACCAAACATGAATGATTAGAATTTTACTATGAATTGTTGTAAAAGTTGAATGATCAAATTGTCGTAAATTTGTTATTACGTCTTTAATTTTTTTCAACAACATTCCATTTGTCTTCATAATCTTCATTTCAATTGCAAATTTGATGCAGAACCTTATCTCACACTTCAGATATATTTATTTGTTATTCTTAAGAGTGGATAAATGAAAAACCATAAAATATTAAAAAACAAATGCATTAAGTGATACATATATATTAGCACAACAAATCCGTTTCAAAAACAAGACATTTAACCTTCCTGTAATCAGAAGTCCAGCAAACCTAAAATGTAGCATTTCAACGAACATGACTTCAAATCCAATATCATTTGCAATTATAGACAAATAATGTCATATGTACTCAGGTAAAAGTGTGTCACATTACTCAACACCAAAAATAATTAAGGAAACATGATTTATAGCCGCAATAATACAGTCCTGCACCACTTTAAATTATTACTGTACAGGGTTCATGGACCTCAAACATGTACATGACTTCTATCAAGTATAGAACGTGATTACTGAAAGTACTATTACTCGTCACAACTTCGAAAAGGCTCTCCATATCATTTACAACAAGAATAGACAAGATGATATGACTAATGGGACAAGCGGTCTTGGTTAAAACATTTCATCGAACATGTAATGTTCTTGTTAAAGATAAGACAACAATATCAAAAAAGATTCAAGGTTAACACCCACAAAGTCAAATCATATCACTAATGAGAGAGAAACGGTCTTGTTGAACACATTTTGCCGAACATGTAATGTGCCAGTTAAGAATAAAACAACAATGTCAATGAAATATCAAGATTAAGAACCACAAACTCACATCAAAGAATTATTCGTAACCATCGATTATAAATCAAGGATGCACAGCAAAATGAATATTGGGTAATATGAATAACATGAATGAAGAACACAAAGTAGTGATTGGACAATAACATGAATTAAGAACAAAAGAGTTGATATTGATTTGTAATTCACCTTCATCTCTGGGTGCATACAATTGATCGTGTGTGCAGATTCGACGAAAACATTAATGAAGAATAAATATGATTGAACAAACATTATGAATTTAATATTGCTAATTCAAGTGTCGACCTTTTTTTAACAATTCATCATCGTTTGAAGAAGATTTCTTCATTATGTTTGAGAGAGGATAAATTAGAATTCAAAAAAAAAATAAAAAAAAAA